AGGACGGTGCTATTCTTGAAGATGACACCAACACAACTCATTGAATATGGGTCAGTCAAGCTTATGTCTCCCCAGATCCCTCACCACATATGGACTAGATTTCCTGGCACTGGAAGTTACCCTGCTCACTATCAAAGAGAAAAGTAAACACCAACCCAGCTACAATGGTGACCGCATCTAAGATATGCTGGTGCAATAGTGGAACAAAGCTTTTGGGAGAAACCAACCAATATCTGACTCGATTAAGGCCCACTCCATGAGATGGAACTCATACCCAGGACTGCATGTGTGGACAAGTCCTGAGAACTGATAGGCTAGGGTCCATGGGGAAAACAAATACTACTGTTCTGCTCAAGGAACTTAGCAATAAAATGACTCCTAACAATATTCTGCTGTACTCATAGATAATACCTTTGTCAGCCTTCATCAGAGCAACTTCCTCCTTTAGCAGATGGGAACAAATACAGAGACTTTCAGCTAGAGCATATGCAGAGAGGAAGAGATCTTGAACACTCAACCCTAAACAGGACATATACACTTAAATTCCTTCCCTCAGGACTTAGGGAACCCTGTGGAAGAGGAGGTGAAAAGAATGTCACAGAATACTGCAGATGGCAGGACCATGGTCCATCTACTGAGATGAAGCACAGATGTGGAGTGGAACCAGACTAATCCTGAGAAAAGCTGCACTGCATGTGTTGCACAAGGTATAGCTGGAGAGGGAGGAATGCCCCATTCATTTGGAGCCCAGAAGATCACATGAGTACCAGATGCTGGACATTGGGCTGTAGGATTTGAATTAATAAGATGGATTTTGGTATTCTTCCCATCTGAAAATTTCTGTGCTTCAGCTCTTCTCTTGTGGAATAAGAAAATATCTAATATTTTAAATTTTGTTTACCAGATCCAACTAATAGACTTTTGTTTTGTTTGTTTTTTAGAGATCTTGGACTTTTGAAGTGTTGTAATTTTTAAAGATTGTGGTATTTTAAAAAAATTACACTGTGTTTTATATTATGATATTAACATAAGAATTTGGGGAACAAGAAATAAATGGTTATGGTGTTCAGATGGTGTGTCTGTGTGTCATGCTGACAAGGAATAGAAGTCCTAGTTAACTTCATCTGTCCACTTGAAACAGCATAGCAACAATACAAATGAGAATCTCAATTTATAACCTGCATGGATCAGAAGGCACATTAATCATAGAGAAATTTTCTCTCATGGTTTTATATAATTATACTTGATAAACATTTTCTGTATTACAATTAAGTTTACAGCATGTGTATTTGTATTTGATAATAACATTTCTGGCCTGACCACTTAGGGTTGGATAACCTATGACGGGATTTGTTCCTAGGAAAGGTTAATTTTCTTACCTAGATTTTTGAAATATTCTGGGTGCCACTTCCCTGTCATATATAAAAGAAACTACCTAGGAAATAAGATTAAGTTTAAAAT